ACCATTCCCACACTCTTGCAATATTCTAAACAATGTTTCTAAACGCTTTAAAAGAGCATGTGATGTCATGACTTCGGCTCTGCCTCGGCTGCTCTCTCGGCCACGCCCACTTCTCTTCTCTGCAGGGAGATCAGCTGCAGGAGGGAGTTTCTCCAGCAGCTGTGGGCTGCCCACAGGTGCTCAATAATTGTAAATCATTAATTTTAAATAAAAATTCCATGCCAATCGTCCGGCTCATCCATCAATCGGCCAATTGTGTGTCATGTCCGCTCTTTATGTTGGTGCTCGCGTTAAGCGTGTAAATTATAGCTGAACAGAACTTATGAGAATGGTGCAGCTGTTGTTCGGTGTATTGTTTAGCACTATTAGTGACGTATATCTTAGATCTTTCAGCGTACTGTTTGGTGTTAGTTTAGCATATATCTTAGTTTATATCTCATATCCTTATTTACGGTTTCTTTTTACACTTTATATTTTGATATTGCTTGATGTAATGGGACCTTGTGTACACAGTTTTCATTCCACTACATGTACCACATGTGATGCGAATGACAAATACAGAAACTCTGACTTATGTTGAAAAACTGCGATAGAGCGAGTCCGCCACAAACGAACTGCGAAGTAGCGAGGGACTACTGTAATCATTTAAATGTTTTTCTTAAATCAGATTTGTTCTTGGTGTTTATTAGGTTTATGTGCCAGGGTGGAGTTTTTTTATTTGTTTGTTCCTGGTTGTTTTGATTTAAAAATGAAGAGAACGCTTAATAATTCATATAAAATGAATGTGAAATTATCTCTACAGTTAAACTTTGCAAGGTAAGTGTAAGTTTTTGAATTGACAGCTGTTTTAAAACAGCAGGTCTGCTCTGCTTCACTCGTCCGTTTGTTCAAACTGAGGCTGTGCACAGAGTTATTTACAGCAAAGAGTCTTTCCACAGAACTGCTTTTTAAAAGACCTTAAAGGAAACTGAAACACTTTGCAGCTGTCCCACATGTCTAGTTATAAAACATGATGTAACAGACGAGTGCAGCCACGTCCAGCTTTGTATTTTGACCTCCCTTTGTAAGTGGATGCTTTTTGTTTTTCGCCTGGTTTAGACATCGTGGAGCAGGAACGCTTCTTGCTGCATCAGGAGACTCTGCCCAGACAGCTGCTAGAGGAGAAGCAACAAAACCCCGACACCATGCCTCTTCTCGGTGCACACAACCTCATACAGGTGCAAAAACACAAACGCCTACAACAACAAAACAAACGTTCACACACGCCAAAAGTGGTCAAGCTTGTATATTTGAATTAAAGTTTAACGACATTCCCAGCCAGACAATTATAAAAGACTGTTACCTGAGCGAGCCCAACTGAAGGCTTCAGGTGTTGGCAGCTGTGTGAGCTCATGCAGCGAGACTGGAACCAAGCAGCGGGCACATGTGAACAGGTGTCACTGTTCACATGTGTCCAGACTGAGACCATTTGTATGTACACTCTATAAAATATCCCAACTTAAACTGTTTCCATCAGCTGACTGGGATTTTGTTGATGGAAAAGACCGTTTTTTACTGATTATGCACAATCAGCAAGTTGCTCACGTCCAGTTTTGCTTTAAATAACTTGTATTCTTAATAATAGACAAACAATTAAGGCTTGCAGCAAAATGTTTCCTTTTCTCCAGCTGTATATCTGTGATGACAACAGGCGCGCCAACGAGTATGACTTCAAAAAGGCCTTGGACCTTCTGGAGTACATAGAAGAGGTGACTTCCTGTTTGTGTTGAACTGCTGCTGTAAGGTTGTTCAAAGTCACTTTATGTTAATTATGTTTTTCTTGTTGCAGGAGGACTCGGTAGATATTGATGCACTGAAGTGTGAGATCTTTGTCAATGCGCTCAGGAGAGACGAGTAAGATCTGCCAGATTTTCTTTTTATTTATTTAGATAAATAAAACATTTGTTTTCTAATTGTTGTTTTACTGGAACAAAAATGGTGACGGCCGTTAGTGTTGAACCTAATCTGCCGCTTTGCTTATCTGTGTAGCGTTTTAACTCAACTGCCTGGTATTGTATTTCAGTCGAAGCTAAAGCGCCAAACGCTTCCTTACTGCTTAGACAGTGGTTCTCAAACTTTAAAAAAGAAAACTCAGGGCACTTGAACCAGATCCCGACCAATATGGAAATTTTGGCTATCGCTGGTATCGATACTGGGAGGGAAAGGCGACCGTCGATAACAGATAAACTGGTAATGACAGAAAATTTTTGAGCTTTGTTCACCCTCAAGACTCTAAGAAAACAGCGAGTGGAGCAGGGCTTGTTTATTTAGCTCAGCTGTTAGCAACCGTGAAGCTAAGCTAATCAGATCCAGCTGTACATGGATCCACAGTAGGTTTACAAGTGGAGCACTGGTCGTAAAACAGGCTTCCTAACGTGCGTTCACATTTTCTGTCCTCCACTATTCACCATAAAGTTATCAAGTGTGTTACAAAAATATATTTTAAACAAAGAAACTGTCACGTATGGTGAAGGTCTAATTAGCATTGTCCGCAGCAGTGTTTTTTTTTTTTTTTTTGTTTGTTTTTTTTGCAGAGAAGTAAAGATTTCAGACAAACAATGCATTTCATTGAGGACAACAAAGATAAAATTACTAACACTGATATATATTTTACCTCTACGTTAGATTTATTGTTCTGGATAAAGTTTTACAAGGAAATAGCCTATTCTAGGTTTATCTTTTTTTGTAGCTCTAGTTTATTTTATTTTTTCCACGAGTCGGATCCACAACACGACCTGTCAATCAATCCAGTAGGCGTGTCAGCACGTGCCCAATCCGAAGCTAAATGAGTCGTAATATTATCTGAACTCCAGCACGGTAAAGCAGGTTTACCACAGTTTAACTGGTAAAATGAAGAATGTTGAGCATCTTGTTAAGTTATACTTTGGTATTGGTTTTACAAATAAGGAGATGGTTAATGTGTTGGCACGTCAGAGTCTCATATGACTTCATTCTCGTAATATTAAGACTTTATTCGACTTTATTCTCTTAATTTTATGGCTTTTAAAAATATTCTTAGCATGGCAATGTAAATTTGTATTTTATTTTATTTTCTTAGCGTGGCCCTAAAGCTCCGTCGTAATTATTTGGTCAGTTAATGAAAAATCAAATCCCTGACTGACAGATGTCCTGTTCCCAGTCTTGTTTTGACACGTTTGACTGGTAATCTGCATGTTTTCCAGCTGGTCTTCTGCTGACGGGAACGAAGATCCTCTGGAAGCAGCTAAGGACAGCATCTTTGTTAAAATCCTCCTTAAACTCATTCAAGAAGGTGACAAATTTTATCCACTTTCTTAATTACATCATTGTGTCACTTTGATTGTGAGACATTTATTGTCTTTAATCACAGGCAGGTCAGTGCATTTGTGTATCCACAGACACCAATTTGTTTGTGCCCTTTGGTAAAGAAAACCCCACGAAGGTCACTGAAATAACCTGAAACTGACAAACGTACTAAAACTCAGTCGTTGTTTTGTAATTTTGCTTAAACAAAAATGTTTTCTAAAACAAACTAATGACACTGGCCTTGACCAAAGGATGGTTCCCCTAACTGAAGGTCCAACACACACTACTCTAGTCCCAAGTAACCACTGTCGTAGAATACGGAGGTCATATGTGGCCACACAAGTGTCGAATAAAAACCTTAAACAATCCAGTCATGAAAACACCTGAGCTCATTGCTGATGACGTCACGCCCGGGACAGTGCACAGTTCCAGATGGAGGCATATTGTAACAAGGACAGTTTCAGTGGGAAATGTTTAAGTGGTTTAGAAGACCTCTATGATGATGTATCTGTAAGCAATGAAGAACTGTTTGTTGTAAAATTGTTGCTCAACAAGGAAGGCCTGTTCCATAAACATACGAGGCGCCACGACGGCCACCAGGCGGTTCCATAAGAAGACTCATGGGTACAGGAAAGACCTTTGTGCCACGCCGCTGTTTAAGACACAAATTTAAGCTGCAGTTAAGATCCCTTTATTGGCGTCAAGTTCTTCACATTCCAAGGCAAAACATCCGCGAATCATAGACACTCATGTTTCAGAGCAGCATAACAAACGGATCCACAGGTTCCAGCAGTGATCAAAAGCAACAATTCAACAATTAAAGTGGTCAGCAAAAAGGTAGACTTCCCCCATCACATCACCCACTCACTAACACACTCACCAGGT